AAGTTCTGTCTAGACAGTTCCGTAAACAGGCAAAGGCTCTTTTGCCTCTATCCCTTCCTCTCTTAATATCTCCACTTTTCAAGAATATACTTATCCTTTGTTCTTTTCTACACCACCTTTGGACTTTAACCTATAAACTCGACAATGTAATTATCTTTCATTCTTCTGTTGTTCAATTTGAGTCTGCAAGTTAACAATCCAGTGTTTTAAGTTATGAGTCCATGAATTCTCATACCCACTCACTGTGCATTGATTATAAATAACCTTGTTAATAAAGTAATGTTGAAGGTGACTGTGACTGTGTGTGTGTGTTTATGTGTGTGTGTGTGTGTGTGTGTGTTTAGGAGACAGGGAGGGCTAAGTCATGCTGACCTGTGTCCAGAGAGGAGTAATAAAAAACCCAGAGAAAGCTAACTAATGAAAAGCAAAAGCAGAGAGCTTTTCCAAAAGATATATCTGCACTACTTCCTGTGGGCTGCTGCCCGGGTGTGTGAGATGATGCCGGAAAAGCAATGGAAAATTCCCAAAGGCCTCTATATAAATCCCTTTCATTCTGGGGTCATCTGTTAGTCTCTCCAACTAGGGAGCAGCCTCCGTTGGCTACTTGTGGTGTGCTTCTGTTTATATGAGTTTTTATCCTGTTGCAGAGAGCCCTGTAAGATGAAGAGCAAGTCACATTTACCTGTAACAGCCTTACACTAGCTTGTGATGCCTAATCTCTTTTATTGATCCTACTAGCTGGTTTCTGGAGACCATTGATTTTCCCGGCTGTCAGTTTGTGGCCTTGCCTCCTTAATGTTTATTTAGACCAGCCTCCATAAATTGCTTCTAGTACGGAGGGTGAGGGAGGCAGCAGGAGGTCAGGGGTGCATGTATACCTGCCCATAAATATAAATCACAGCTTTTGTTCTTTGCTGTTGTTTGTGAGCACTGTTTGCAAGGTGAATAAAAAATGGAAGTATTCAACTAAAATGTGAGGGAAGCCATTGTGAATCCCCCTGTGACTGTCTTTTTTTTTTTTTTTTAATTTCAGTCTACGTTTTCAATTTTCTGAATCCTAATGGTACCTCTTGTTGTCTACTCACACATTTAATGTTTCTTTTTGTTCACTGAAGAAAGAGAAGAGCAAAGGCATTGTTTGTTTGCCAGCACAGAGTTGTGCTTTGAGTATGGGTGGGTTGGTTTCCTCTTCCCACTGCCCAAATTACTTTTTGTCAACACAAGTACAGATATTCATATATTTCAGTGTTCTAAGAAAAAAATGAAAGAGAAAGACTTTCCTTGGTGCTGGAGTTGACAGCACCTGGTTGAACAATTGAACCAGCATGGCCCTTCATAATGAAACTTATAGAGCTATCTATTGAGACAAAGGCCACGCTGCAGTGGCAAAGAACTTTGAAGGTGTGTAGCAGCTCCTGGTCAGCACTGTCCTAACAGGGGTTGAAGGGTGCAGAGTGCCACTGTGTCTGCAATGACAAGGCTGGTTGAGCACAAGGCAAAATGGAAAATTGTCGCAAGCAGGTGGCTGCTCTGTTATAAATAATTCAAGGGCACGTCCTGCAAAATCCAAGGGAAAAGCCCCACAGCTCATTATAACAGTGAGTTGGTAGACTGCTAGATCCTTAAATCACTAGAAAATGTTTTGCAACAGCTAAGAATTTTTTCTCCTCTGCAGTAGTAGATATCATAGTCACTATAAGGTGACAAGTGGTTCCCCTGAGGCCAGGAGGATAGCAATCAATGCAGGGGGGGTAAAGCCTGGGCCTCCACTCTCTCAGTGGCTACAGAAGCATTGTACACAGATACAATGCCCAGAATAAATCATCAGGCAAAAGAGAAGCCTCCTCAAGACAGGAAAAAAGGACCTTCGAGAAAGCACTTTATGGAACAGTTTGCTTGATTTAGATCTCTTTAACTTAGCTTTTTTTCATATTAGTTAACCGTCTGGGTCTACTTTGTTCATCTAGTCGTGCTTCTACCTTTTTCCCTAACAATGCTTCTGTTATTTTCTAACTTTATCACCTATAGCCCTTAGATGGGCCTCACAATTGGATGTGCTTTCCTCATTCTCTATCTGTTAAATCTCTGAACTCCATCATAAAGTAATTTTTTATTCTTAACATCAGTGTTTTTTATTCTTCAAAATCTTTTTTTTTAATTGCTGGAGGGCATGTGCACTAGTCAGAAAGAGACAGACAGAGGAAAGCACCCCAATGGGTCATGGTTACACTGCCATCCCTTCTCCTCTATTTCTCCACCTTGTCAGGATTTGGGACACACACACACACACACACACACACACACGCACGCACACACATGCAAACACTACACAGTGTGTTTTTCAAGCTGGCAGGGCTGGGATTTGAACAGTGGCCAGCCATGTGAGATCCAGCTACCTTAACCACTAGGCTATAGGGCTGGCCTGGTTCCTCTTAAAACTTATATTTTTCTGCATTATTAAAGACAGGCCCATTCAGACTGAGTAAAAAAGTACCATGTCACAGGTCTTAACCAAAACATTATTTCTTGCTCACAGAGTCCATTGTGAATCTGGAGCTCTTCTTAGTGGCTTCCTTCTTAACAGTGGTTCAAGGATTCAGGCTTTTTCTATCTTGACATTGATATAGTAAACACATGGCCTCCAAGGTGACTGCAGAGAAGAGAAAGTGTGGAATATCGTACAGTTGGTTTTGTAGCCAGATCTAAAATGGGGCACACTTCTGTGTTAGAAAAAACATTTTTTGCTTATATTTGAATATTTTTAAAATCAGAAATAATAGTATCCAGTTTATTATTATCACACATTAAAATTTCATAATTATATTAGAAGAATGGGGGGGTATGCAGTTGTTGCAGCAGGAACACAATGCTCTGTGAGGTTGACTCACTTGGAAAGGTCCTGGGTTCACATTTGGAAACCTCCCTGGATGCAATGTACACATGTGCTCAGGATCTGAGGCTGGCTGTAACCAGAGGTAGATCAAGGTATAAGATTCCATTGGGGGTTCTTGTCTTTCTTTCTCTCTCTGTCTGTCTCTCTTGCTCATGAAAGAAAAAAATAAGTAAACTGAAAAAGAATTAGAAAAATAATTGCTTTTTGAAAAAGGGAAGCCTTTATGAAACAACATTTAAAAAAAAAATCCAGAAAGATTTGTAGATGTGATGACATAAAAACTCTCAGTTAGAAAAACTCACCATAGTTAAGTATAAAAACAATAGGCACATGAGGAAATATAGGTACTATGTCAAATATTAATATGAAAAAATAGTACTGCTTATATAAAAATTGTGCTCATAAGTCAATAATGGGGGAAAAAATCTAAACAATTAGAAAAAACTGCATAAAAGTTACAATTTATCTAGTCAAAAACAAAAAAGAGGGCTGACTGTTAATGTGGTCATTAAAGCAGCTGCATCCCACATGGCCAACTGCATGGTTGGAGTCTTAGACCCGACAGCCTTAAAAACACAGTGGGTGTGTGTGTGTGCATGCCCAAAATCCTGAAAGGAGGATGCGATGGAGGAGAATGGATTTTAGCATAGCTAGGCCTCATGGGGGGTGCTTTCTCACTTTCCTTCTCTCTCTTTGTCTCTCTCTCTCTGACAAACACACACACCCTCCGGCAAAACTAAAACAACACAAGAGCCAATAAATATATGAATATATACCTAATATTTCTATGCTTTAGGGGTTGTGCAAATTAAAAAGTAATGAGACAAGTTTTTGGTCTTTAGACTGTCAGAAATTTCAAAATAACATAGCCATTAAGATTGTGACTTTGTGGGAACCAGCAGTTAGCGTAATGGCTATGTCGCTGGACTCCCATGTAGTCGACCGCGGTTCGCATCCTGGACCTGGTGGCTTAAAACTCACGCCAGGCGCGTGTGTGTGTGTGTGTGTCCAAGATCCTGAGAGGAGAATGGAGGAGAAGGGATTGCGGCATGACCATTCCCCCTGGGGGGTGATTTCTAGCTTTCTGTCTCTATGTCTTTCTCTGTCTGTCTGGTGAGTACACGCGCCCTATAGCAAAAACCTCTCAAGAAAAAAAAAAAAAAAGATTATGACTTTGTGAAGAAGGCTCTGAGACACCATTGATAGGACTGTAAATCAAAACTATCCATTAGCAGTGCAATTTGATAATGACAAACCAAATTTAAAATGCACATAACTAGGCCAACTGTGTGGTTTATTGGTGGTGTCCCACTCAAGAGATGCTGCGTCCCACACAGTGGTTCCATTCCCTGGCCTGTACAGCCTGAGAGATGCTGGCTGAGTGTTCAAGATCAGACAGGCTATAGGACTGGAGGAAGCGGATTGCGTGGTGACCAGACCCTGTGCAAGATGCTCAACTCTTTTTCTCTCAAGTGTGCGTGTATGTGTTCTTTCATGAATAAAGAAAACAATAGACTTATAAAAGTGAAATGCACTTAATCATCAAATTACCAGTCTCGCCTCTAGAAATTTATTTCTCTCTAGCTCATGCACAAGTGACGCATGATGACACAAAATGGTCACAGCAATGTAAGTCATAGCCAGGAAAGCAGAAGCAAACAGACAAACAAAAGATAGAGACTATCTAAAGGAAATGTTAAATAACGATGGTGTTTTTGTACGATGGAGTACTGTGCCATACTAAATAATTTGTATAGACTCATTTGTACTGGTATGCTAGAATGCTCATTAATATTATTGGGTAAGACTTAGAAAAAGATTCAGAGACTAAAAGGGTATGATCTCATTTCTGGAAAAAAAATGATATATGTGTGGAAGTTTGCATGTGTATAGGGGCTGGGAAGACAAATACCAAGTTGTTCTCAGGCCGTGCTATCTGGCAGGGGTTGGGGTGGCTCTATTGCTGCTATTGTGGCTATTAGCATGGTAGCCACTGCCTCTGCTGGCTAATATGTACCTGGGGAGGCTCTAAGTACTTCCGGTGTGTTAACTCATCTAGTTCCCTCAGCATGCTTCTGAGATAAGTATTCATCTTTCTTTATTGCAGATGAAACTGAGCCCGGGAAAGCATTAGCAGCCTAACAGAAGTTTTGAGTCAGCAGGTAGTGTGGTGGTTAAGGGCGCTGGAATCCCACATGGCCAACCGTGGTTCAAGTTTTGGACCTGTTGGCTTCCTTTCTCACTTTCTTTCTCTGTCTATCTCTGTCTCTCTCAGGTCAAATTGGAATATAATAATAATAAATAAAGTTAAAATAATTCTTTTTAAAAAAAAGGAAGTTTCAAAAAAAGATTTTTTTTGAGAGGTTTTTGCTTTAGGGCGCATTTGCTCACCAGAAAGAGAGAGAGAGAGACAGAAAGTGAGAAATAACTCCCCAGGCGGATGACCACGCCGCAATCCCTTCTCTTCCATTCTTCTCTCGGGATCTTGGGCACGCACGCACACACACCTGGCATGAGTTTAAGCCACAGGATCCGGGACTCGAACCACGTCGACTACATGGGAGTCCAGAGGCATAGCCATTATGCTAACTACCGGTCCCAGGAAGTTTCAATTTTAATGTGAAAAATGTTTACTCTTCCACTCTGAAAATTAAATCATATCCCTCATCCGCACAGATTCCTTCTATGTCTTTCTCTCTAGATTGAAATCTAACGTCTCTTGGCTACAGCCCGCAGGGTCTTAGGTGCTGTTTTCTCTTGGACTTCATTGTCAGTCATGCAGCCACACATTTCTCATTCTTCCCTAACCTTTATGCGTGCAGATCACTTGATTTAGTTTTTTAAAAAATATCCAGTTGCGCACAAGCTGGCCTTCCACATCATCTCTGGAATATCTTATGGAGCTTATGTATGCATTTGTTAATTGTTTTCTTCTGCTAGAAGGTAAACTCCATGAAGCCAAGGACTTTGTCTTATTACTATGTCCTAAATGCTTAGAAAGGGTAGATGGCACTTCATACGTATTCATTAAATATTTGTTGAATAGGTGAATAACCGTTTAAAGAAACAACAAAATCACTAATGTAAGTCATTGCAAAAATATAAGTAAAAGATTAAATAGCTATGAGTCTATGTGTGTGTGCCTATGTGATTGTGTGTGTAAAATGAAAACACACTTGAAAGTGGTTTAGCATAGAGATGTTCAGCAAAACACAGTGAACAAAACACAGATTTTACTTTTAGCAAGCCATTAGAATTAGTATAGTCCATATTTGATGCTTTATTTTACCTCTCGTCAACCAAAGTAAAACTGAACAAGAGAAAAAAAAAAGAGATAAAAGAAAGCAGTCTGTGGAGGATACTGGCACTTACAAGGAGGTCTACAGTAGTCTGAAATATCTTTAATTCTCTACCTACTTTACCATGATCTTTAACTTTAATTACCACATATTCTGGCAAATAAAAATACTTTACTGAGGGGCCAGCAGATGGTGTGGTGGTTAAGGCACTGACTCCCATATGGCTGATGGCTGTTCAAGTTCTGGACATGGAAGCCTACTTTCTCTCTCTCTCTGTCTCTTCCTGGTGAGTGTATGTGCCCTATAGCAAATTAAAAAATAAAGGGTTGTTGAAAAAGTTATAATGCATTTTTATATAGGAAAACATGAAAAAATATGTCGTGACTTTTTTGATGACCTAATAATAAATACAGCTAAATAAATAATTATTTTAAAAGTACATTACTGCATAAAAACTTTGCTTGAATACATTGCTGAGCAAAAAATAGATTAAATGCCTCTGAAAGAAAATGATTTTCTGATCTTATTTAAGAAGGAAGCCAATGTCAACAACTACGTTCTTTTTGGCTCTACAAAACTTTAATTGAAATTCTTCTAAGGAAACCATTTTCAAACCCCCATTCTTTCAAATATTACATTATATAAGTCATGGTATGGTTCAGAAAAAAGAATCTACTGTTTGTATTCCAGTGATAAAACATTTTAATATAAAGGGATAAGGGACTTAGATGACTTTCAAAAATGTTTAGGGAGCAAATATGTGTGAAGCCGCTGTTGATTCCCTCAGGTTGATGTTCTAAATCATGTGATTCTCATGAGTGTCCCAGGAAGTAGCTGCAGTTTTCAGGAACTGCTGGGAAACCCCCACGGAATATTTCAGTCCATGGGAGCAAAAGAATAGTTGTCAAGAGCTTAACAAGCAGCCTCCATGAGTCACATCCTCCCAAATGTCTGTATTGAACTGCTTCCCGAGAATAATGACCTCTTTTCCCTTTTGCCTTCCAAGTCTTGGGCAGGTGCCTCTCATTGGCAACACTATCATTCATGGAAGGCATTATGGAAATGATTGCTCCTTCTTACCCTCTGTAACACAGTAGAAATTACTGAAAGAGATGTTGATGTTCATCTTGCAATTGTAGTCTGACGTACAGACTTTAATGTCACATCATTTTGAGTGAGGGAACAGAGCATCGACTAGTTAATTCCTCTGTGTAAAACTCTTCCAGCTGCTTGGAGATTTGCAAACATGATCATCATCTTTTGCTAAGTGTGTATGTGTGTGTTTGGGTAGGCACTACACCAGAAGCAGGTTAGCTACTGTAATATTTTTTTTCCTACACATCCTCTTGTTTTTTGGTCATTTGAATTGATCTTTACAAACTGGGAAATTTCACATATAAATGTGGATTTATGGATTTTCCTTAAAAAAAAAATAAACTAGCCAATACTAGTGTCTATTCACCATGAAGTGTGGATTTGAATCTTCATTGCCTTTTTAGATGCAGTGTGTATTCAGGTTTCCCTAGTTCCTCACCTCTCAGAACGGTTCTTGCACTTGGTTACCTTTGCTCATTGCTTAAATACCTGCCTGGGGCTTAGAGACATGGAGCGTGTAACCCCTGCTCTAGAATTTGAAAACTACAATCAAGACTTTTGTGTAGTTCTGATATCCTAAATACCTTTTCAAGAAATGTTTGCTACATCCAAAACATTTTTTTTAATTTCCAAAATTATGTTTCCTGTGTGTATTGTCTTCACATAAGTTCAACTTTTACAAATTTCTTTATTTTTCATAGTTTGTTTTTGTTTTTTACTTTAAGGAGAAACCTAAGATAACTTTTTAACAGAAGTTATGGTGCACTCCATGACTAGAAGAAAACATAAAGGTTTCACTGATACATAGGCTGGAGCATTTAGGTACAATTATCAATTTTGTCACTCTTACCCATCACAGTTGTGACTCATGTGACTCTAATTCATGTATCAGCAAAGTGCAAATTACCATAGATCATGGGCTTTTGAGTCACCAAAAAGTAGAGAAAAACATGGTGATTTCATTGGAAAAAATCAGAAGTTGCTGTTAAATACATGTCTCTTGATGTATATAAGCATATAGTTAACATTGTACACACACGCACACAAACAAATAAGATTTTTATTCTATATTCCCAGCCTCTTCACATGAAAAAATCAGGTCTAGGTGATAATAAACCAAAAGTCATCTAGATTTTTTTTGAACTTGAAAGAGAAAATAAAAAACTAATCACATGGTAACCTGCTATAAAAATCATGCAAAAATGAATTTTAGAGATATGTGCTAATCCGAAGTTAAATGAATGAAAGATAAGCTAACTGTCTCAGCAGGTGAGATATAAAGTGAACTTTGAGCTTTAGGTTTTAAGAGTCACACTTGGGTGAAAATTATGTGAGAAAAACAGCTTGTCACCAAAAGTGATTATAGACTATAGAGGTAATTTGGAATCCTGAAGTTAGAGGGCTGGAAATGTACATATTCAAAAATACTTAAACTTTGGAAAGTCTTATAAATAATGTGCAGCTGTCCAGCAATATGTATAATGTCTGCCAACTACATAAAGTCTCCACAAATTCTGTTTTGGTTTGGCATTCAGTATAGAAAAATAATATATCTGTTCCTTGTTTTCCACTTGTAGGCGACCACATTTGAATGTTCTATATACAAGTCCTTGTTTTTCCCCATGACTGACATTCAAATACCAGAAATGACAAGTTATTGGCTATTGTGGAGAATGAAAATTCATTTATGTCTATAAATATCCAAGAGTTGTTTAGTTAGGAGGAAACAGATGACCTAACAGAAGACTAAATCTTGGCAAGTTGACTTTCATTGGCTGAACCTTGCCAATTTCATTCTAGCCAGCTGGTTTCCTCTAATCCTCTCCTGTTCCTTCTGTTTGAGTGATTTTGTAGTTTTTTTTTTTTTTTTTTTTTTTTTTTTTTTTTCTCTCACTC